TGAGCCGAGCCGAGCCGAGCTAGAGATTATGAACTCTTGACTCGAGCCGAGCTCGAGCTCATGGTTCTGGCTCAAACCGAGCTCGAGCCTTGTAGAATAGTCTCGAGTCGAGCTCGAGCCTGGTACTATTCAGCTCGGCTCAGCTATAATTCTTAATTTTTTAATTATAAAATAAAAAAAAAGTATATATAATTTTTTATTTTTATAATAAAATATTTTTATAAAATATAAAATGAGCTGAGCCGAGCTGAGCTGGAGATTATGAACTCTTGACTCGAGCCGAGCTCAAGCTCATGGTTCTGGCTCGAACCGAGCTCGAGCCTTGTAGAATAGTCTCGAGTCGAGCTCGAGCCTGGTACTATTCGGCTCGGCTCAGCTCGAATCCACCCCTAATTACAAGAATGCCACTCTCTCTCCAACTGAAAGAGACCTCAGCTCGACATCTTGGCTACTAGGGGACCTGCAATCAAAGGTAGTCGAGTTCGAGCCAAGCCAAGCTCGAACTTCTGAGCTCAAGCTCAAGTTTCTTATTCAAATCGAGCTCGAGCTAGATGACACTTCGACCACTGAGGGAGACCTTGGCTCGACACCTCTGTCTCTGCGGGAGATCTCAGCTTAGCACCTCAACAATTGAGGGAGACCTCAGCTCGGCACCTTGTCAACTAAGGAAGACCTTAGCTCAACACCTTGCCTGCTAGGGAAACCTCAACTCAACACTTCAACAACCGAGGGAGACCTCGGCTCGACACCTTAGCTGCTTGAGAGACCTGCAATCAAAGGTAGTCGAGCTCGAACTTCTGAGCTTTTGACTTGAGTCGAGCTCGAGCCTGATAGTTTATGAGTGAGCCCCTGCAATGTAGGGCCCCCTCCGCTAGTATATCTATTAAAGGAATAGGGGTGGTCTCCCCTTTCGCCAAATGGCAGCCCTATATATATATAAGATTCTACATTGAAAATTCTCAATGAAGAATTTAATATATATTCCACCGGTTTGATCGTCTGATTCAAACGAATGGCCCGTTCTGACAACAAAAATTACAAGCAAAAAATACAGAACCCTTCTGGCCATTGATTTTCGGGTCGATGGTTCAATCATCCAGTTCGAACGAACGACCCGTTTTGACGACAAAAGTTATAGGAAAAAAATTGAGTGTGTGAGGTCTATTAAGCAGTATCATACGTGTTATGTCATTCGAGTGCATGATTCATAGGACCCTAAAATGGAACCATTCTAGCCATTGATTTTTGGGTCCACGGTTCAACCGTCCGGTTCGAATGGGATGGCCTGTTTTGACAACAAAAAATAAAAAAATAATAAACGGCCAAAAACCATTGAACGGGTCGATGGTTCGACCGCTCGGGTCAATGGGTTGTTAACTGATTCAACGGTTTTGGCTAGGGACCAGGATTGGGGTAAAATATAACCGGTTTCCTGGACAGTTCCCAATTAAAAAAAAAATGGCGGTTCGACTGTCCAATTCAACATACAGCTCATTCTGACAACAAAAATTACAGGCAAAAAATTGAGTGTGTGGGGTCCATTAAGTAGTATCGTACGTGTTATGTCATTCAAGTGTGTAACTCATACGACCCGAAAACAGAACCGTTTTGGCCACTAGTTTTTAGGTCGACAGTTCGACCATCCAGTTCGAACGGATGGCCTGTTATGACAACAAAAATTTAAAAAATAAAAAATTGATAAAAAACCATTGAACGGGTCAACGGTTCTACCAGTCGAGTCAATGGGTCGTTGATCGATTCAACGGTTTTTGGCCAGGGACTGGGATTGGATTTTCACTATTCAAAGGTTTCTTCTACTGTTGGCTTTATTCGAGCGTGTGCGGTATGTTCCTTTTTTTTCATTTTCTGTTTTTTTTGTATTTAGTCTTCTTCTTCTTCAAGATCCTCCAAAATGGTCTAGGGTTTACTACCATTTTATTTCTTCCCTTTTGTTTTTTCTTTGGGTTTTCTTGTGCAATATTTTTTTTTTTATTTTTTTCTTACAAGATGATCTGCTTTGTCTCTTTCTTTGATTGCATGTATGTTTAACTCCATTTCAAAGCGGAACTTTGAACTCGATTTTTCTGATATTTTTTCTTTGAGTTTTCTAATTTGGTGGATTTACCGCCAATTTTTTATGTGTTTAAGGTCACTTTGTATTTATCTTTCAAGGTTTTGGAATCCTCTTTCAAGGTTTTGGAATCCCTTGCAATGTCCACCATTCCCATGACTATGACTACAAAGTTATTTCGTATAATTATTGACATCTAGAAAAAATGGCCCAGGAGTGGAACTGTTCTGGCCATCGATTTCCAGGTTGACGGTTCGACCATCCGGTTCGAACGAATGACCCATTCTGATAACAAAAATTTAAAAAATAAAAATGGCCAAAAACCGTTTAACGGGTCGACCGTCTGGGCCAATGGATCGTTGACTGATTCAACGATTTTTGGCGAGAGACCGGCTTTGACAATATTGCAATTCCAACCCCTGCTAAGCAGGAACCCCTCCGCTAGTGCTTAGATTCCGTGACTTCTATTATCACTTATCAATACCTTCATTGGCTGAAGTGTCAGAACAACGGGTACCTTCGCGTAGAGAGTGAAGAACAGTGAAATTCATAATACTATGGATTTGCATAACTTTTCTGTACGTGTAAAAGGCTAGGCAGGTGCACTAGCCACCGTCTCGGCGATCAGCTCCGTTTGACTCTTAACCAGTTTTTTGGAAAAAAAGACCTATTTGATTTGAACAACGGTTTCTGACCATTTTTTAGAATCGGATGGTTAAACCATTAGCCCAAAATCAGTGGCCAAAGCGGATTCAGTTGTATCGATTTTTAAAACATTGGTAATTAAAGAAAGCAAAACGAAGAAGTCCATTACCATCCCTCACAAGACTTCCACTATCACCACTATCCCTAGAATTAATTTTCAAGCAATCTATCTCACATTTCTTCTTTTGATTGAGTTGGGACGCTAGGAGTGGGGACAAAATAGGAGCAACTTACCTCACGAAGCCATACATTTTCACCTATGCAAATGAAATTTGTAGCATAGGCAAACATGAAGTTTTGTGTGCATGTCCCCCACCCCACTACAACGAGGCGTTATATGTTAGACTTGAGTTAAAGATTGTGTTTGGTACCATTTTTGTTTATTCCTGAAACATTGGATCGATCAATATAAATTGGTGAAAAATTTAAATTATCACTTCGTATAAGGGAGTCATTTTTTAAAAAAATTAATGTACAAGATTAATCATTGACGTTTAGAGTTGAAATGTCTAATTTGACATTTTAAGGTGAAAGCAACAAATTGTATTGATCCACCTAAGACATTTTGATATAAAAAACATGTCTTACAAATTTGTATTGGCCAATCCCAAAACACAATGCTCCATTTGGGATCAGTATAAAATCGTGAAAGTGACGTTGCTTTTTGAAAAACACAATGGGTGGAAGAGTGTAAGATTTATATCGATAAAATCGATGCAGTTTTTACATCGATTATCGATGTAAAACTTTATGTCATGATGAGGTTTTACATCAGTTATCAACGTAAAACTCAACTCCATCCAAACGCACACTAAATTGAACCGGGATAGAGTTTTACGTTGATCATAATAACACGCTCCTTTCAAACACCTAAAAAACCAAACTGATGTAAACATCGGTTCTTGATTTATATCGCTTCAAAATGCAGCCTTAGGGATTAATTACATGATATATGTGAGACCCACTGGCACTAGGGTTCAAAATTTCTACACAAGTGGCTGATACAACTTCTTTTAAGGCTTTTTTTTTCCCTGAAAAAACGAAGAAGAAAAAGACATGCACGAGGTTCAAAGTATGTATAACCCCCTTTCATCGTATCAGGATGTATTATTACTTTGAACCGTGATCGATACAAGAATAGCCTACTTTTCCAGTGATGCCTTAAAACATCTGATCCATTGCTCACAAGGTTGTTTAACGAGGTATGTAACCAATCATGATTTTCAAAACCGGACAGGACCAGATGATGATCGGAAAAATTGGGAATCGATTAGGTGATCGGTTCTGTTTTACCCCAGAACCATTATTTCGCCAAAAACCGTTGGTGAATTGTTCAATGGTTTGGTTGTTTTTATTTTTTTAAATTTTTTAATTTTTTGTCAAAATGGACCATCCGTTCGGTTCGAATGGTTTAGCTATTCAACCCAGGAATCGGACCCTTGACCGATTCGATTTTAAAAACCTTGTAACCGATCATGAGTGACTAGGCTTAGTGTTCCATTGAGTTCAGCTTCAATCAGTGCAAAACCCATTCCAACACCCTTTACAACCTTGCACTAGGAATATCTCCCTACTTATGTGCTTTATTTCATGGGGAGATATTCTCAATGCAAGATTGGGAGAGGCGGTTTGAATAGTGTGAACAGTGACTTGCACTGACTAAAGCCGATCTCTGTTCCATTGGGCATGGGTCAGGGTCACATGGATATGAGACCGGATCTGCTTCTCAATAGGGCGCCTCACACCGACCTGATACACATCCTACCGTGCACTGGAACATCTTCCGTACTTATAAATTATTATTCACGGAAAGATGTTTCCAATGTAGAACAGGATCTGCTTCTCACATAGGGGTGCCTCGTAGGCACATCCATCGTGCATTGGGAATATCTCCCATGAATAATAATTTATAAATACGAGAGATGTTCCCAATGCATGGTAGGATGTGCATATGAGGTTTGTGTAAAGTGCCCTGGTGAGGAGCAGATCCGGTCTCTTCCAATGCACAACAGATGTGCCTGTGAAGTGCCCTTTGTGAGGAGCATCCCATGGATACGTACAATATTGTGAATCAGTGTGAATGAATGCATAGTGACTTAGTGGACTCCGGATCTCCTGCCCACAAAAACCCTGCCCATGCCTATTCCCAATACACCACCCCCCATGAATCGGGAACATCTCCCCGCTCATAATACTACGCGGAGGATGAGGTGTTCTCCATGTGCGACTATTATAAACGTAGGCAGGAGATCCGGACTCGAGTTAGTGAGTCTGGATCACCAAGAGATCCCAAGTTCCCAACTCTCTCAAGTCTGGGGCTAAGGCTAAGTTCCAACAAAAAAGAGTTTCTCTGTATACTTGGCATTTGGCAATGAATTTGAGAGATTGATATCGAAATGACCAGCCATTTTGCTTAGATAGTTAGATCCCACCCCGAGGACTGAGTCGACAATGTCCGACTCTATAAGCTGGTATTCATCAAAATTCAGATTTCCCTTAAAGAAATACAGTGACAGTCTATACAAAAAAATTACAGTGGTAACGAAGTGAGAAAGTAAAGCCATTTTCTTCGAATTGTGAAGCACCGAAGAGGGAAAGCTCAGATGGTGTTTAACAGGATAGCAGTATTGGCGGTGTCGAAACCCTTAGTTTTCAAGGCAGAGCAATCCATGGCGTCGGAGCTGCCAACTGATCGTACGAGTTACAGGAGAGCTTCTACCCGCAAAGGCGACATCGTCTTCGTCGTCAACCCCAAAGGCACACTCTTATATCCATGCCATCCTTTTTGCTATTCTTTTTTTGATGAAGTTCCAGCATTTAGAAACTTTTGATCTCTTCAATTCTTCCAAATCAGGCGCAAATGGCCGGACTGGTAAAGAGTGGAAGAAATTAGTTCCATATCTTAGGTCTCGTCTGGATGGAGTTTATAATGTGAGTATGCCCTTTTCATTAGTTTTGGTGTGGGTTTGCAATAATGTTTAAGTGGTTTTCTATATTTTAGGTGCTTTTGAGCACGAATTTCTGGGATCCTTCTTTTGTTATCACATCGTTTAAAGTGAATTCTTCTCTTGAGAGTATTCTTTATACTCCACAATTTGCATTTCCTATCTATGTTATTTGTTTTTCTTATTGTTTTTAGTGTTAATCCTTGAAGACTTCTTTGGAAATTGTTTTCGTTATTATATTGCATTTTTTTATTCAACTTTCTTGGGCACGCAATATTTCCTTTTCGGTTAGCTTTTTGGACTAGTGCTTGGATGACAATTTAAACTGAAACACATCTTAGAAATACTGCAGTTTTCATTTTTTTTTTTTAAATTTGTTCTTTTACAGTTCCTGTCGAGATTCATTCTCTTGGTAGGTTTATTGATTCATTTTGTCTCCAGATATGATTGACGAATTCTTTGTCTCCTATTGGCCTGTCTAAATAGTAAATTATCAAACCAGTCACTAATCTTAGGCTAAAAGTTTGTATTAGAGCTTGTTTGTGATTACTGGGAGATTTCAGAGATTAATGTATCACTTCGACATGTTTATTTATTTTTCTAATGATATCTAAGGACAAACTGTTGTGACAGTGAACCAAGGCAAACAGTAGGACATAATCGACACACTATATGCATCATATGGCAATTTGAGGTAACAAGACTAGGGGGTTGTTTGATAACAGATGAAGTGTCTAACTGAATGATTCATTTCTTTGTCTTGTAATGGATAAAATAATTAAATAATAGAATATTCGAGGTTACAATAATCAACCCAACACCAGATTCAGCCACTAAGGAGCTCACAAGTCACAACTAGAGCTGCAATGGGTCAGGTCTACCTGACAGAACCAAACCAACTGAACTGATTATGTTGGTTTTGGTTCTGGTTTGTGCCCCAATTAATAATTGGGTTGGAATTGGTTTTGTTCTCCCAGACCAATTAAGAGTTAAGACCTGAAACTGATTATATAGTTAATAATATATAGAGGTCTCCTGGTTTTCTTGTAATTTTTGTTACATTTTATGTCTAAAGGGTAAATTTCATAAACAGTAGATGAAATAATTTTTGTTTAGCAATATTCCAAGTATAATCGGGTCTAATCAGGTCAGACCTGATTATCCTGTTAATAATTGGTTCAATTCTGGGTCTGTCTTATAAAACTGATTAATAATTGTTTTGGGACTGGTCCACCCTATCCCAAACCAGACCAGGCCCATTGACAGCTCTACTCACAGTCTCCTTATTTGCTACAGGAGAAAGCCATAATTTATTTAGTTCAACCACTCCAGCTGTTATCAAATGGCTCTTGACATCTGGGGAAATCAGGATGATGTTTCATGTGGCGTGCAATTCTACATTCTATTGAGATGCCATGGCTAGAAAAAAGTTATATGTTTAAGGCAACTGTCTTGGAAAAATACTATTGTTCATTATTTTGAAGTGTCAAAATCAAAGGATACATAAGGAATGGAAATAGGGTGGGGATTATACTCCCCATCCCCGTCCTTGATCCTTGTCGGGGAGAAAAATGAACCTCCATTCCATCCCTGATTTTTGATGGAGGTGGGTTCCTCATGGGGTTCTGAATACCCTAATTTTGTTTTAATTAAAAGCTTGCTTTGGGCTTGAAGGGCATAAGAAGCCATATATGACTGGGAAAAAGATTTACTTAAAAGAAAGAAAAATATCATTAATCTAGTAACATCTATTTGAGTTGAATTGAATAGAAATCTAACTCGCATAACACCATAATAGCCACCTTCAATTTTGGGTTTGGGTGACCTATCTCACTTGGAAAAAAAGCATGATGGATAAACCTTTATGTCATTATTTTTCACACGATAAAGTTCCAACAACACAACAATAACAATCCAACACCTATAGCTAACTAAAACAGAGTAAGTCACCAAGATAACATAGAAGTTGAATTTGTTAAACATACAACACTAAATAGAAAACATGAAGGCCCCAATTAATGCCAGGAAGAGGAAAGGTCAACAATCAGCTAAGGGGGGGGGTGGAAATAATTGAACAATTAATCACATGAGGGCAATTATAGCTGGAGGGAACAAGGAGAGTCTTGGGGCATTTATTGCTATGTCAGTTATGAATAAGAAGAGTTTTTGGGCATTTATAACTAGGCCAGCTGGGCATTTATAGAGGGAGTCAGTTATGCTATCAGTAGAGTATAAGAAGGGGCTTTGGGGGATGGGGGTGGCATGTTTTTCTTTGAGTGAAGAATATTGTGAGTGTTTGTGAGAGTCGGCGGTCTCTCGAAGAACCGACCAACTGTTAATGTTTTCTGCTGAATGAATACTAGTTTCTTTTGTTGATGTTCGAGTGTGAACTCTGCTGTGAGTCTGAGAACTGTGTGTGAAGTTTCTGGGTCATATCAAAACACTAAACTAGAAAATAACATATATATATATGTAGTGGCATTATTGTAATTATATATAACTATTTTCAAAATTTAAAATATAACGGGTTGGCAGCTCGAGTGGGGATTTCACTCCCATTTATGTCCTCGGTCTCGATTGGGTATCCCAATTATTCCTTGTCCCTATCCTCGTCCTCGCCAGAGCAATCCCTATACTCGATTGGGGAGGTCGAGTACCCAATGGGGACAAGGAAAATTGCCATCACTATACATACTGGAGTAATTTTTTTTTTCGAAAAAGATAATTATATTGACAAAGTGTACATGGGGGGATGTACATATAAGAGAGTTTTTTCCCCAAAACATAAATCAAACCAAAAGTTATGGTAAGGAAGCTGATACTTGTCTCAGTATCCTACAATACTACACCCACATGGCAATTTTGAAAACATGAAATATCTTAAGCACTATAGAAGGGGATGCGCGTATTAGAGTCATGAAAATAATATAGTTGCTCATCCATGATCAACAAACAACAAGAACCATGGGACTTCCTCTTGAATATGTTCTAATGTTGGTTGTTGCACCCTTATACATATCCTTAATTAGGTCCACATACCTATTTAGCACTCCTTTTCCAAGACCCACTGTATTACCTCTCTAGGGAAGGGACTTTATCATATGCTTTCTCTAGATCAATGAACATCATGTGAAGGTCTCTCTGATTCTCTTTAAAATTTTCTATCAATCCTCTAAAAAAAAGATAGCTCCTATGGTTCATCTCCCATGTTGTAACCTTTGCTCAATTATTTTTTTTCCCAAAGTTTCATGATTTGGATCATAAGTTTAATCCCACAATAATTATCACAACTTTGTATATTGTATTTATTCTTAAATATAGGCACCATAATGCTTTTTTTTTCATGCATCTTCTTTTCTTTCATTATCTTATTGAATAGTTAATATCAAGCCACATCAGCTTATCTATTCCATACCTTTCCACACTTCTATTAGAATCCCATATTGTTTTAATGCCTTTCCCTTCTTTGTCTTATTTAACGCCTCCTTCATTTTAGTAATTCTAATTTTATGAAGGTACATGCTTTTTTAACACTATTAGAGTTACTAATCTTTCCTCCTTTACTACCCTCTACATGTTATTCATTTAATAAAATTTCAAAATAGTTTTTATTTTATTTTCTTGATTTTTCATTTTTTACCAAGATTCTTTGGTCTTCCTCTTTAATGCACCTAATATGGTTCAAATCTTTTGTCTTTTCTTTCTCTCATATTTGCTAGTTTATAAATTCCATTTTCCCCTCTTTAGGCTCAGTTTTAGAAGAGTGCAAATACAAATATGTACAGTGCAAACCTTGTATTTGTACTGTATATATTTGTACTTACACTCTTCCCAAACTGAGGCTTTAGTGCCTAATTGTGGTAGAGACCATCATATTCCTTAAATTTAATCTCACTTGTTTTCTTTTTAATTTATGATTTAATTTGTTTAAGCTTTCCCCATTTTTAGTCATTTGCCAATTTTTATAATTGGCTCATTTTAATTTGATTATATTTTGAATCTCTTCATTTCACCACCTAATTTCTTTATTACTTTGCCATCTTCCTTTAAATTCTCCTAAAACGATTTTTAGCTACTTTTTTTTATTTATGTAATTAGCCATTTTGAGCCATGTATCTTTAATCTTCCCATCTAAATTCCATTCTCCTTTTGCTATGCTTGTCTCTAAAACATGTGGGTTTTTCTCCTTTTAGGTTTTACCATTTAATTTCTTGGACATTTATTTTTTCTTATTTCTCTTGATATACATCTATCACCACTAATTTATGTTGTGTTGTTAAGCTTTCCCCTGAAATAATGCTGCAATCCTTACACATCATTCACTCTATTCTCCTAGTAAGGAAAATATTTATTTGACTTATATTTAATCCACTTAATGCTATTAAGCGATTATCTTTCTTTTTGAAACATGTGTGTACTTTAGACATATTGTAAACTATTGTAAATTCTAAAATTGTATCTCTTGTTTTATACCTCTCCCCAAGCCCAAATTCTCCATGTACCATATCATATCCTACACTTCTTTAGGCCATATGCCCATTTAGACTCCCTCCTATAAAAATCTCATTTTTATTTAGAATTTCTTCGATTGGTCCTTCTAAGTTTTCTTGTAAACCCACTTATGTTAATGAATTCACCTAAAACAAGTCTAATTAAAATTATTCTATTTCTAATTCTTTTAACATTTGCAATTTCATTTTTTTAGATCCTTATCTACTATAATTTCTAATCTCTTTCTATTTTTTACTTCTCCTATGTAACATAATTTGTTGCCATCAATTTCTTTGTTTTTTCCCTTTCTTTTAGTTTCTTATAAGCATTCAATATTAATCCTTTTACTAATTCTATAGTCTTTCCTGTTAATGTTCCTACATTCCAAGTGGCTAATCGAATTCATATTTCTTGGACTAACTTCTTTACCCACCCTTGTCCAAAAGGATGTGGGAATCCTTGCTCATTTTCTGGCACAACCAGGCATAGTTGTGATGTGTCTCTTCTGGGGAATGCCCTAGCATACCCTTGCCCATTTGATGCCAAACTCGGTTTAAGGTATAGTGTGTCGCTTCTAGGAAATGCCATGGCAAAAGTTAGGATCCATGGCCATAAGAGTTTGGCAAAAGTTTTAATGCTAGATGCCAACCTAATGCAACCATCTTTAGGATATCAAAAATAATTTCCCATTCCACTCCTTTCACACAACCCAACAAATTCAAAAGAGAACATGGACCATAAGATAGTATCCCTACTACCAAAGTTGAAAGGAAAAAAGAATCAAATCTCACATTGATGGAGGGAATAATTAGGATATCTAAAACTATGAATGGTAAAACTCCCAAAGAAAAGAGATGACTAGATAAATTGGAATAAGTGGTGAATTGACTTCCCCACAGGCTTTGCACATAGTGGAGAGTGCAGCAATTGTGGAGTTGTATCCCCCTCATTATAAAGGTGATCCATATGCACTATCAAGGAAGATGAGCTACATGAAAGCCTCTAAATGAGGGGTAACCCCTTTTCCCTGAATTCTGCTATAATTAGTCATTTTCATCTTCATGATTCCTCGGGCAAGAACAATGTAAAACGAGTTTTTACTAATACAAGATTTAAGAGAGGGTAACTGTAAATTGTAAAAGGAAAACAAAAGAAGGAAAGGGGTTATCAGTTATCACAAAAAGGAAGGAAAAAGCAAAGTGTCCTTCCTTTTATCTTTCTCTTCTCTTCTTTCTATTTATCTCAAATCCCTTTAATGCTTTATGTTTCAATGTAAAACCCTGAAACAAATTTAAGTAATATATGTAATGCATGATGTTTTAAATAAAATACAATTTAAGTAATTTAACAGATATGATAATAAAGCACATCTATTGCTGATCCAAAAAATAAATAAATAAAATAAAGCACATCTTTGGTAATAATGTTATATAGGGTGGCCACCTTGCAATTTTTGTTGCTTGGGTGGGTGACTTGTCACCCAGTCAATGCCTATATGATGCATTGACAACTATTCCTTTACGAACCTTTTCTGGAAACTGATATATTTTCCAATATGTTATGCATTTTTGGTTGATGCCTTATTGAAATTAATAGCATTTTTATTTCTTAACCTTTTCTCTATAATGTGTCTAGATATGTGAATCTTTTACTTCGGGTCCTTCTCATGCTATCGACATAACGAGGGAGGTACATCTTTTCCATTGATTTAAAATATGGATGAATTTAGCTCAGATAAGGGGCTTTTAAACTTGTTTTTATAATTGCTTTGTTTTGAATGGTCTAATGGCATGCACAGGCTATTCGGGAAGGGGCTGATGGTGTGATAGCGGTTGGAGGTGATGGTACTCTCCATGAGGTATGGGATGCTTTTCCATGTTGTTTTGAGGAGATGTTGTTACAATACTGTGGCTTAATTGGATGGTACCGGGAATTTCTCATTGTTGATTGTATTTGTTTTTTCATAAGGTGAATGTTGATAGGTGTGTGTTGCTCTAGTGCGACAGCTCCCCACCCCTCATCAGGAGTAACTCTTTTTGGAATTTAAAAACTTTTGCTCCATCTCTGTTGTTTGGGTGAAGTGAGTACACATAGGTTATGTTTTGTAGACAGTTTTTGTAACTCTTCAAGTTGGCCTGGGTCTTGCCTATAAGATTTGCACATAGATTTTCTTTTGCATTGGTTATGGATGGGTTGGCTATTAGCTAAACAAGGGGCAGAAAGGGATTCACTGTTTTGGGCTAAGCTGTAACTATAGTGTGTTTTTTCTTTCTTTTTTTCCTTTTCATGAGGTTCTTTGCTGCTCTTGGAAGATAAGTGTGTTTGTCTTCCTCTTGTAAATCTTCTATTGATGATTTAATGAAAGTGTTATTGATAAAAAAAAATGGATGGGTTGACTACAAATTTATAGCAGTTCACCTTGTTTAAATTGTTCACTAATCTTTGAGGTTTTTAGTCAATTAGTAATAGTAAATGCATGAACCGTTAAATGGCTGACAAGGAATATCTCAGTCAGGTTTCAGTGGGTCAGCAGATCAGCAAATGCAATGGCTGATTCTTTGGCCAAGCAAGGGGTGTCAAGGGGAGATCTGTTTTGGGCCACTTTGTAACTGTGTTTTAGGCTTGTGTTTGTTTAGTGTTTATGACTCAGTCCTAGGGGGAGGTAACACCTCGTGCCTCTTCCTAGGCTGAATGTACTACTATTTTTTGAATTAATAAAACTACTCTCATTTATCAAAAAAAAAAAGTAAATGCATGAACCAGTTTTAGTTTTATTGATAAAAACCAGTTTTAGGTTTGTTGGGGTTCAGACCTGTGCCTGAGCCATGTGTTGAAATCTAAGAGGCTGGTTGGGACTGGGTTATCATAACGAGCACGGCCTGGTCCGTCTGCAACAAATCGAGGGTGAGCCCTCCTCTTTCCTTGAGCGTAGAACTGGATACCAAGGTCTTTTTCGGGAGAGACTGATGGTAACCCCTTAGCCCCCCTTTCCTTCTTTTCTGGTCTGCCCTTGCTAGGACCCTCTGGGATCCTTTTATAGAAAGGATTCTCTGTCTTGTCTTTTTGTCCAGGTGGGATTGGGAGTCTCTTATTACATCTAATTCCCTAGGGCCCTATTTGTTCCGGGGATCGTTCTTGTAGTATCTTGTACTATCCTGTTTTTTGTCTCCATTGGGGATCTTGCCCTGGTGCCACCATGCTGGTCATAAATGCTTACCACCTACTCGCTTTGCCAGTCATTTAATGTGGGCTGACGTGGTGCAACCCCAAAGTCTCCCCATCCTACCAAGCCTTGCTCAGTTCAACATGCTCAGAGATTTCTTTCACGCTTGGTTCTACATTTTCGTGGTGGTTGGTTTCTTGGCCCAGTCCGTGTGCATGTCAAGATGTCCTTAATAAATATCCTGTCAACTTAGTCAAACTTGCCTTTTCATCTTGCGACCCATGGTGGATCACCATCTCTTGGATGCCGGACTTCATCATAGTAACAACAAGGTTAAAAAATGAATGAAGAAATGGATAAGATTTATGGCCAATAGATACTCAAACTCGCTTAGGAACAGTTAATGTTTTATTTAACTTGTTTACTAATAGCACGATTGAGGTTATTAGAGAATGAATAAATGCAGTATTAGAAGAACAATGAAAAGATACTTTAAAATCAAAAGACTTCGAGATAAATGGAACTAGGACAAAAATACATGGATCAATTTTAGGATAAAGAAATGAATGGAGGAATGACTAGGATTTATGGGCAAGAAATACTCAAAGTGGTCTAGGAACAAGTAAAGTTTCTTCTCATCATACCTATTCCTTCTTTGTTGATTCTAATAAGGTTGCATTTGGCATTCCTTATTTTAAGACATGCCCTTTTTGCAGTTAAAAGTTCAGTGTTCATAGGGGCGTTTTAACTGCAAAAAGGAGATAAGTCCTTAAAATAAGGAATGCCAAATGCAGCCTAAATCTACCTTTAATGTGGAATCTTGGGTTTAAGAGGGGCTTAAGAGATCTAGGATGCGAGTAACTCATCAGTCACTTGGAAAGCCTACTCAACTTGACATCCCAATTATGTAAGATTGTTGACATGAATTGTATTTTTGAAAACAAGAGTTGTGAGGAAAATAAAATGGCAGGTAAAATCAAGGAAATGCTGTTTTCTTGGTTGTCTTTTGTTTAAAGGAGCATAATAGCACTTTTTTTTTTGACAAGAGTCTTCTGTTTCTGCAATCAGTTTTCTGTTCATCTTTGTGTATTCCCAATGTACAGTTCCTTGTTGTACATGGGTCTTGGCATTTTGATTTAATACAATCTGTTGAGTTTTGGGTTGATATTACTTGTTTTATTTACATAATATAGTTAGGGAGTTAATGGGCCTTAGGCCCATTAGTTTATTTTTAAGTTAAAAGTGCTTATTCAGTTCTTACAAGTAGCCGACTTACTAAGGGCATACTTGTCTTTGTACCCTCTTTTATTTGTAAGTATATAATCTAATGAAAGGGGCGGCCAAACCTAATTTTTGGCTTCACCCATTCTCTTCTATCTCTCTTCTCTTTCTTTCTCAACTGAAACATTTTCTTCTCTTTCTTTTCTTCTGTCTTTTACAGTTTTTATATCAAAACAGGTCATCCAAACTTTTCCACTTGGTATCAGAGCAAGTTTAAAGATTTTTTTTGAGCTGCTCCATGCAGCCCTAGATCAACCGACTGCATGATGAAGTAAAGGGTTGATCAAAGACTTCAGGTAAGCCCAGTTTTTGGATTTTTTTGGTGGATTTGCAATCCCTTGTAGTTGGTCTAGGGTTTAACACCAAAATTGGGAAGGACTGGAGAAAGGGGGAGAGTCCTGATTTAGTAGGACTCTTCAATTTTGACTTAGGAAGTGGCGCTCTAGTTTTCTAAGGTTCCTTGAGGTTTTCTGAAGGGGTAGGTTCAAGTCCCAACCTTTTTTGAGGTCTCTGGAGGGAGCGACAACCTCTTCTCTCTCTTCTCCCGTTCCCACAGAAAAGGGAATCTTTGGAAGGAGGGGCTTTTAGGGTACTAGGAAGGTGTTTGAGGTTTCTAAAGGAGATAAATACCTTTCTTTTCATCTCAAATTGATTTCCTAATCTATTTTGGGAGTTATGGAGGGCTGTGGAGTTAAAAACAAATTTGTAGGTGAAATGAGATTTGGGGGGAGGAGGTGTTGGAGACCTCTTCAGGGCCGGGACCATCACTGTAGTTAAGTTGGATGGTACAAACTATGTAGAATGGTCACAATCTACAAAGAATGCCATTTGTGCTCGTGGGAAATTGAGGTATGTCACCGCTAAAAAAAAGAAACCTGAAACTAACTACTCCCGGTGGGTACAGGAGAACTACATGGTGATGACTTGGTTGTGCAATTCCATGTTACCCCATATTAGTAAGAACTTTTTATGGGCTAACACAACTATTGGGAAGGAGTAGTAGAAACCTATTCACAGAATGAGAATGTTGCTAGAGCCTACTAGTTGAAAAACCAGGTGATTACTACTAGGCAGGGAGATAAGTCTGTTGCTATTTATTTTTCAGCCCTCAAAACCTTATGGTAGGAGATAGACCATTTGGAGACTGTGGTTTGGGAAAGTAGCAAAGATGCAACAACTTATCAGAAGCTGGTAGAGAAGAATATGGTTTTTGAGTTTCTAGCTGGACTTAACCCTGAGTATGACATTGCACAACAACATATTCTTTCCTGAGATAGTGTAACTCTCTCTCTCTCTCTCTCTCAGGCATATGCCTTTGTGTCTAGAGAGAAGAGTAGGAGGAATGTGATGATGAGGAACCCATGCCTTAAACAGTCAGCCATGGTTAGCACAGTGAAGCCTAAACCGAGTGGGGACAAGGATGGAAATGACCTGAGGAAGGAGGATAAGAATGATCTAATCTGTGACTACTATAAGAAACCTAAACATACCAGAGATACCTGCTTGAAGCCACCTTGTACCGGGATGGCTCAAAAACAAGAATGATGTGAATATGGCAGTGACCGGTGATTTATCAAGGCCACCTACTACGACCTCTTTAGAGTCTGTTGTAGCAGCTACAATGAGGGCTGAATTGGAGAGATATGGGCAGTTTCTGAATCAGAGGGATATAGCCAGTTCTAACTCATTATTAGGTGGACAACAAGGCGCAGGTGGATCGGGAGGTAGCCATTCTACTTTGTTTGCGTATATAGGTAGTTCACATCCCACTACAAATTATGTATCCACTATAGGTAAGGGGGGACCTCCCTAGATTATAGACTCAGGAGCCTCAGAACATATGGCCAATATTTCCACCATTTTCTCCTCATATCACCTCTGCTTTGGCAGAGATAGAGTTTCCACAGTAGATGGATCACATGTTCCCATTGCTAAGAAAGGGTCTGTCAGGATAACTGATACCATTACCCTACCTTCTGTTCTTCATGTTCCTAGATTGAGCACTAATCTTTTATCTGTTAGTATCTTGACAAAGAATTTGAACTGTTTAGTAATTTTCTCTTGGTCATTGTGTTTTATAGGATTTGGAATCAAAGAGGACGATTGTGAGGTGAATGGAATCTATCTTCTTGATGTGCTTCCCAGTCATCGGAGTCATCATGTTAGCAGGAGCATTAAGTCAGAGTCAGTGAGTCAGGTTATGCTTTGGCATAATCGGTTAAGGCATTTGTCTTTTTCTTCTTTGCACTTTTTGTTTCTCAAATTGTTTGAGTTTGTTAGTTGGTCCGGCTTGGAGTGTGAGGGTTGCCAACTTGGAAAGCAAATGCTTCAGAAGGTGAACTAGTGAAGAATGTTGTAAGGTATCAGAGGTTAGTGGGGTGGTTGCTATACTTATGTATGACACGACTAGACAT